AAACTAGGGGGTTTTGGCTAGAGCTCCTAATGAGTCGAGTTGAGTCGAGTCACGAGTCAAAAACCTTAATTTTAAAGTACTATTTATTAAGTTAGAATATAATTAAACGAAAATTTACAATTATGCGAGTCAAAAATGCGAGTTTATGCGAGTCATTTTCGGAGCTCTAGTTTTGGCAAATTGACGAAATGCCAAAATAGTGAAACTTTGCCAAAACTATATGAAAGTCTTATTAAAAAGTTGGCAAAACTCTGTGAGAAAAGCGAAATCTGACAAAACTTATTATAAATGCTAAAACTGCTGAAACCTTGCCGAACTATAATAAAACTATAGTAAAATTTTGGAGAAACTAATTGTAGAATTTTGGGGAGGTTTAGGCAGACAACCTTAGTAAAGATGCGATTTTACTACCATTTGATTTATATTGATGAGCTGATTCCAATGAACTATAGATCGTCTTGATTGGATCAGTAGATAGCAAAATATTATTAAATTACTATAATTATTCAAATTTAAAAGCATAAACTTTTGTAATATTATGTTTTAATGTAATATTTTGAAATTTTACACTACCTCCAAAATATTACACTAAATTACGCTTAAACAAATTGTCTGATGAAATAACTTAACTTGTAATAGAGTTCAAAGTATTATCAATACATATTTTATTTAGTTATTATAGTGATACTAAATTTATAAAAATTAAATATTTAAATTTTATCAATAATATTACTATTAGTCAAGAATTTCGAACATTATATATACAACTCAGAGGTTAACTTTCACAAAAAAAAAATTAGTATTTTGCAATTATCTAGTCCAACTTATACAAATTTTTTTTTTGTTTTATAGTAATGTTGCTGCTTAAAACTCATTTAATAATAAAATTCAAAAATCTGAAACTTAAAAACTTTATTTTTAATAAAAAAATTGGTAAATCTGAAATTATAATTAGTTTCAGAAAATATAAAAACAATTTAAGCAATTAAATTTATTATAAAAAATAATTTCAGATTGAATTTTAATTCAACTAAAATTTTGAAAAATAGTTTTGGTAAGCATTCTTATTTTGTAACTTTCATTGAGTTCTATAAAATAAAAATATTTGTATGAATCAAATCATTGGATATCAAGATAATCGCAAAAAACTAAAAATAAAAAAAAAGCAAATTGGATTTTTTTTGGCAAAAAATCAGTTATAAGTTCTATAAGAGATATTTAGGATCTTATTAAAAAAATGGTAAATTCTATTTTTTCACATTAGTATTTGGTTTTATAAATAATATAGAAGTCATGATAAAATAATTAATAACTTAATGTCTGAAATTTTATTTGCGTATTTTTGCAGGATTTTCAATATCAAGTGTCAATATACATACTACTCATATAAAAAGTCTCTGCGTATAACTTATAGTAAAAAAATTTTTTGCCACCTGACCCCTATATATATATTTCTGAGTCCTGTTATTTTTATAAATCTGTATATTTTTATAATTTTAAATTTTTGATTATAAGATATACTAGATTAACAATTATTTTTTACAAGTATTTTTTGCTTTTTCTTAAATCTTTAATAATAATTATTGCAAATTTTGAATTGTTTAATAATTTTAATTCTATAACTTATAAATTCAAATAATAAAAAAATTTACAGCTATTGCAATAATTATTTAAAGTTTCCATTATTTTTATATAAAAATTAATACAATATTTTTATGTTAAAAGGGCTATTATATTTTTTTAATATTCTTTATAATAAATATTAGATATAAAAATATTGTAAAATATAAAAAAACTTTATTGTAATAATGTAAAATGTAAAATAAGTTTAAATAATCAAAATTGTAAATTATACTAGTAGTGTTCTGCAAAAGATTCGGTCAAATCAAATCAATTCAAATTTGATTTAGATTTGATCCAATTTGATTCAATAATTTTTGATTTACAAATCAAATTTAAATTTTAAATTCAAATTTAAATCAAATCTAAATCAAATTTAAGTCAGATTACTAAATCAAATTAAATTAATTTGAATTATTCAAATCAAATTCAAATTAAATTCAAATTAAATTGAATCAAATTACTGAATCAAATCAGATTCAAATTATTTAAATCAAATTTAAATCAAATTAAATCAAATTGAATCAAATCAAATTAAATTACAAATCAGATTTGAATAATTTAATCAAGTTTAGATCAATTTGAATTTAATTCAAATTAAATTAAATCTAAATCTAATCAAATTCAATTTGATCCATATATCAGTTATAACATATATTATATAAATTATATATCTGAGTTTTTTTTAATAATGATACTAGCTTTAAATATTTAATTAAATATTTAAATTGTATTAATTTTAAAAATAAAAAATGTAGAATTATATAATTCTTTATTCAGTTCACTGTATTCTAAACTAATTAAATTAAGAATAATATAAAAATATATGATTTAAATTATTTCTTCTATTTCATGTAATTATTCAGAACAAATGTGAAGGATTATATATATTTATGTACTATGAAAAATAATCAATCATGTGTTTCAGAATTTCAAGATAATATGCTACTAATCAGTAGAAAATTGCAATTATGTGAGTTTCTTTATCTGGGAATTTTAAGACATTATGCTGCTAATCAGCAAAAAATTATCAGAATTCTAAGACGTTATGTTGCTAATTAGTAGAAAATCACTATCATTCTTGATATATGTTAACATCTTTATTTATTATAATATCTTATTCTGAATTTACAATGGTTTCCATTTCCTAATTTATATGATTACTAATTATCAAAGAGTTCTATAATATAACTTAAATATATAAGTCACTAATCATATATAGTTATTTATGTAATATATACTAAAAAGAATATATACTGTATATCATTTTTTTTTACCTGATTATTGAAATAGGTTTTGTTTTGAATGTCATTATTTTTTTTCTTAAACCTTATAGAATTCTTTATTACTATTCCAATCAAAGGTTTATTATACAATAAAATATGCAAATATTACTGAGGTAAAAATAGTATAACTTTATTTAAAATTCAGAAAAATCTTAGTTAACTAAAGTAAGATAAGAACTGCTATCTTTCTTTTTATAAAAAAGCAAGTAATATTCTTAATAATTGGCTTGTAGGTATTAAGATTAGGAATTAAGAAAGTATTATATGGTACAATCTGTAAAAAAGTGCTTTACTTTTAAGTTATTTGAAATTTTTCTGTTTAGAAGAGGAACTGGTTATGTACCTCACTACCTCTTAAACTATCAAACAACCTGTCTGTTAAATGTTTATCTTTTATTTGCTAGTTATTTGGATTACTGTGGTGGTCATGAACAGCTAATTCATTTCTCTTTTTATTTCACATTTCCACTTTTTTAGAAATGGTAAAAAATGTAAAAAGAATAGACAGACATGTTAAACAACAACAATTAGAACAATTATCAACAGGATGTATAAGATGTTGACCATGATATAGAGAGAATATTAACAATTGAAAATTTTCTGATGAATTGAAGCCTGAATTTTGGGCTCAAGTCCTTAAATTATATCATTATCCAGATGAGAACAATTGGAAATTCCAATATGACACCATCAGTACAGCCAAAAGATACCTTAAGGCAGAAAAATATTTATCTCAAGCACAACATGCTCTTTTAGGTTCACATATCTAATAATAATAGTATAATTTTTCACACATTACATTAATATTTAGTGAATAATAATCTTGTAATTCTAAAAACATTAATGTTGAAACCAATTAGTGGTAACTTTTTAGCTAACGAGACTTCACTACTTCAATTATTTTTCTTAATGTTATTTTAATATATTAATTGCTAATAACCATCAAAACACAATAAACTATATTTGCAAATGAAACAAGTCTTTTCTTTAAATTTACCGCAGTGAGTAGATTAAAGTATAACGTAGTGTTAATTGTAAAGTCTTTTTTCGTGGTATGTACGTATATATACAAACAATGCAAGTATTTGGAATTCATTCATAATAATACACATTATTTTCATATCTATTATTTTTGAAAAGTTCAAAGTCGATCTTACAAAGAAAAATAGTAAATCATTTTAAAAGAACATGACTGTACGAAACTTTTTTCCAGAATTCCTCCAAATTTGAATATTCAATCAAAGATAAATCAAAATTACAATATATGGTCCATATTAAGGGATTTGTAAATTCAACTATAAAGTGCTATAAGAAAGGATATCTCGATTTGAGGTAAGAATTATGAATTTTGGGTCAAATATTTAGATTGCTTTGAAAGTGGACGTATAGATGATTTAAAATATGTTCTCTATACTTATAAGCCGCATTATAAGCAGATTTGAATGGGTACAATTATTCAGGGGAAAAATCAAGATTTTGAATTAATGTGATTAAAAGGATTCATCAAAATTTTCCGTTATTAATACAAGTGTCTAAATAATCACGTTTTTACTAACTACCCAAATCTTGCCAAACATTTGATTGCTCAGTCAATATGTCGGTTGCATTAAGTTGCAAGCGTTCTCCTGCATATCCTTTTCACAAATACTGTATATCTAAAATACTATATTATTTGTAACCCGTTTGCTTCGCAATAAAAATTATTATTATATGGCGATATATTACACAAATTATATATGATGCAGGGGGTATCTCACATTAATTATTAATATAAGGTAATCTAAACGTGACTAACGACTCTGCGGCAACAAAGTGAAACCATCTATTGTAAAATTATATGTGAAAGAATTTTATTATTTTAATAGTTAAAAACAAGGAATTATAATTGGATAAAATACGAGTCAATGTATTTGATTAAAGCGCAGTATACTCGATCTGTTATAGTGGACATTATAGAGTATTTGTTTGCAACAGTGTAATTAATAGCAAAAAAAGCTATCTATGAAATTAATTTTTATTGAATCAAAAAGCATTAATAATTGTCGATTTGTAATTACTAACCACCCTTACAAAAAAAAAAAAAAANAAAAAAAAAAAAAAAAAGAAAAAAAAAAGGGTATTACCTTTAAATACTAATAACATTTTTGATTTTTAAACATATATATATATATATTTAATACACTATATACATTTTTACGACTATTTATTTTATACACTAGGAGGAGTAAAAAAGGAGTTATTTACTCTTTCTATTAGAATGTGATATCAACATATCCTTCTTTAAATTTTACTATATTAAAGAATTATTTTTATGTACCAGAAGGATTCATTGATAAAAAGCCGTTATTTGTGGTTACATCGTAAATATTTTGGGCATTTCCAATTCCCCAATCACCCAATTTCCATGCTATATTATATAAAAGAAGTCAAAGAAGTCAGTAAAGCAAAGAATGTTATTACCCTTCCCCATTTCCCTTCCTGTTTTACTTACTTATAAATACAATAGTAGCTAGGACGAAAACAGCAATCAACATTAAAATAGATCCTTGGTTTGGTTTATAAACTTTAATTTCTACATTGGGACCAATTTTAATCACATCATGTTTTTGTTTTTCATTCTCATTCTCATTAGGTTTTTGAATAATAGGAGTAATTGAAGTATTTGAAATAGGGGAAACTATTGATGAATGTTGACGTGGAACAATATTTATAGTATGATCTATGTTGTTGAAATTATTATTGTTGTTGTCGTTGTTGTTGTTGTTAATATTTATATTTCCAGTTAATAAGCCAGTTGGTAACGGTCGGTTTTCTTCTTTATCCTCTCGAGATTGAGCATTGTTATTTAATAAAGGATCATCAGGATCACCGCTAGCGTTACGAAAATCAAATCTCACCAAAGATTCATTTGTATTTTTGACTGGAGTTCTTTCTTTAAAATTGGACAATCTATCTTTATTTAATATTTCTCCCAACATATTTTTAACATTATTCTGTTTCGAAGAGTCAGAATCGCTACCATCTAAATCACTATTACGAAATTCTGTACGTAATGGGGAATCACTCTGTTGTACTTGAGCAGTATACGCACTAGGTATTTTTGGCAAATTTTCTATCTTTGGTGTTGATATTCTAGAACGATTTCTTGAAAGAAATAGGCCAGGCAATGAAAGAGGAGATGGGGTAACAGCCGAATGATCTATTGAGGATTGATTGACATCATCATTATTATCATTATCATTAATATTATTATGTCGTTGAAATTGTTGCGATTGTTGCGGTTGTTGTTGCGGTTGTTGTTGAGGTTGTTGTTGAGGTTGTTGTTGAGGTTGTTGTTGAGATTGTCGCTGAGATTGTCGCTGAGAATGTTGTTGAGATTGTTGCTGAGATTGTTGCTGAGATTGTTGGTATTGTGGATATTGTGAATATTGTAAATATTGTGGATATTGCGGATATTGCGATGATTGTTGGTAAATTTGTCGATTGACATCATCTTGATTTGGACTATGAGCAACTTCATCTAACGGAGATAAAGGTAATGGATTATAAGTGACATGTTTATTATCATAAAATTGTTGTAATTGTTGTTCTGTTGGAGGAAAATAAGGATTATAATTATTAATATTATTATTACTAATTTTATTATTACTAAGTAGTGTATTGGTTAAATTTTGTTGTGGATTATCATCAGGGGATATAACATAATGTACATTAGAAGAAGGAGCTTGTTTTATGTGAATAAATTGTTCGTTTGTGGGTTGTAATTGTGATGAAGAAGGTAATGAATCTTGATGTAAAGATAAATTTTTTGGGGCGTATTGTTCTTGTGCTGCAACAAATTCTAAATATTCCACCGGATTTGTAGTTGATCTCACATTATTCCTATCCAAATGTTTGGAGAATTCTTCACTGGTCGAATACGCTCTTCCCATTTCATTATCACTTTCTCCATTATCATCATCATTATTATTATTACTAAAAGACATTTATCTATCCTGAAAGTATTTTTATTAGTTAGTTGTTATGATGTATTAAATTATTTTCGATAAAACCTTCATTTTTACCTGTATTTCGAAAAAGCTGTTTTTTAAAAACTGTGAAAAAAAAAGTACCCTTTTTTTTTTATTTTCTTTCTCCTCCTTTTTTTTTTTATCTAAATTTTTATATCATTTATACTTTATTATATTAAAGCTGATATTTTTTTTTTTTTTACTGTGGAGGAAAAAAAACGGAAAGAGAAAATAGGAAGAGAAACCGGCTAATTTCAATCAACAAATAAGCAACCAAATTTCAAATGAAAAAAAAGGTTTGTCCTAATAATAATTTAGTTATAAAATCTACTACCCTACACAATAGTACAAAATTTACAAAATTAGATTTAAGCAACGGGAATTTTTGACACACAAGCTTACAAGATAATTTTTTTTATATTTTCATTTATAAATGAAATGTAATTTGACGTACAATTTACTTAAAAAAAAATTTCGGTGTAACCCGTATCTTTCTGTCAATGATTTTACCATCTCTCCTAATTAATCATTCCGGGTATTACAAATTAATAAATTAGTATGCCGTATGATTGTTGTAGTATAATAGAACAGGTTCACTGAGTTACTATAATGGTAAAAGTCTTTATTTTACAGAAAAAGATTCGGCCATGTTCAACCTTCCTGAAAATAATCATAATAAACTATTTTAGGTATACCGTGCTTTATATAGGTATATGTATCTATAAAAAGAAACTACATTTGAAAAAATTTGAATTAAACCTTTAAATGTTAAAGTATCTTCCGGCGGCTTTCTTCTTTATGTATGAAACAGTAAATAATAAATAATGTAAAAAGGTTTAGTCCAATACTTTCAATGACGACACGGAGATCTTAATTCCGAATTTTTATCTTTTATTTACAAAATATTTGGGCGAAATGACACGGTATTGTGGTTTACTTTTTATTAAAACTACTCAATTCCATTGCAAAGCTTTTACTTCTCCCGCCTTACCTTTTATGATAAACAATCAATCATAAAAGAAAATTACACGAACAGACAAAAATTACAAAGATAAAGTCACGTGAATGTATAAATCGTGTATTTTGGCGAATCTGGTCAAGTTTGTTTCTTAATTCTGGCCAGAGACCAGATTTATGAATTATTAATTAATTATCACATTGTTATTTAACCATTTCAGGTTAAAATTATACACCGGAACAGCATCCCACATTTAGATTATCATGAATTTACGAAAATTTCGAAATTTCTGAGATTTTTGATAATAATTAATTCAAATATGTTCCATTTAGGAAAATGAAATTCTTCAAAATTTTTTTTTTTTCGTTCAATTTAAAGTTTCGTTCAAAATGCATTATTAATTATTGGATGATCAAACTCATTTTTAAAGTTTAGGCTAGATTATGAAATTATACAGCTATCTAATTACTTTTTTATAGCTTTATTCATAATCGTAACACAAAACTTTTCGTTGTGAATGTTAAATGGCTAGCTCGATTTTGTTATGGTTCATTCTTTATAGACATTTGCGCTCGGGATAAAAACTTTATTAGTTTATTCGTTATCTTTCCCACCGACCGCAGTTAAATGAGTTTGATTGGTTTAAACTGGTTTAATATTAAATTGCACATATGACATACATTATACACATAGTTTTTAATATATGATTAATAGCGTAAAATTCAATGAAAATCTCTTTTCTATTCCAAAAAAAGCAATGGTTAGATGATATTCAACGTGACCTTAGCTTATATTTTATGTACAACCCCTATTTCAACATTTATTCAACATTACAAACTTCATCCCCTTTCTCATTTTTTACCCAAAGCTTTACCAAATCTTTTAATAAAATAAGTAAAAAAGAAACTTACATTACTGAAACCTTTTTTAAAGAAAGTCATTTTATTGATCAAATATGTTTAAGGGAAGCTTTTTTAGTTCATTAAGGAATAGTGGAGGAAGTTCGAATCCGTCTAATTCACAGAAGGACGCGATCCTTGAACAATTGATTGCTATATTACCTGACGCAGGTTTGAATATTTAAAAGTAAAACTTAAAAACGTACCTTACCTTATTTTCTTCGTTTTATTAAAAAAAATAATATTTATTACTTTCTTCTTCTATAGATCAAGACTATTTAAAATATTGTATTGGATTTTATCGCGATAATCATGTGATGAGAATTACGGAAAAAATATTTAATTTTAATAAAGGACATTATCCAAAAATACCAGAAGGATGTAAGAATGCTAACTCTACAAAAGCAAAAAATGAATATTTATTAAAACTTAATGAATTATTTCCCGAATGTGATGTGGGATTTTTAAGAGAAAAGTTATGTAGTGTAGATCAAAATCACTTACAACAAGTAATTGACCGATTATTAACTATGGATAAATCAGGAGATAAAGGAGGATATCCTCGTAGGGTAAATCAATTTATTATTGAACCATGGGAGTTGGTAAGATCACAAAGTTATAGAAAAGCTGTTAGATATAGATTATATAATGATTTTCCTGAAACTTGGCGTTCTACGATAAAAGCAATATTAGCGGAAAATAATTTCGATTACAGAAAAAGTTTTGAAAAATTGAAGGATTTAACAACAAATAATTGGTGGAATTCTATATTTAGTATATTTCGTAGAAAATTATATAAAGAAATGGAAAATCCTGAATTATTAGAAGAAATACAAAAGTTACAATATGTTAAATTAGAAGAACAATCAAAGGCTGATCATGAAATAGCGAAGCAAGTTAATTTCAGTGAATATACGAATAATGATCAATTAATAACTTGTGGTTGTTGTTATGGTGATTTTCCTTTTGAAGATTTGACTTGTTGTAGTGAAGGTCATTTATTCTGTAAAGATTGTATTAATCATTTGGTACAAGAAGGTTTATTTGGTCAAGGTTCTTTACGTGGTAAACAAATTAATTGTATTGAACAAGCAGGTTGTGATGGTTATTTTACCGATGATCAGCTTAAATCAACTTTACTTCCTGACGTATTTAAGAATTATTTAGATTCTTTGGTAGAACATTCTTTAAAACAATCAAATTTATCATTAGTACAATGTCCTTTTTGTAATTATTGCGAAGTAGATGACAATGACTTATTTCTTACTTTTAAACAGTTTAGAATACCCAAATCTTCAAAATCTTTTATATTATTGGCTAGTTTACCTGTAGCTATTTTACCTTTATTTACTAGTTTTGAAAGTATTTTTAGTATTTTTACAGCTTTAAACGTTGTAATTATATTAATTCTTCCTCAAATTGTTTGGAATGTGATGGGTGTTTATCCACTTAAAGCTTGGGTTAGCGAATTAGACAATATCGTTAAACGTGTATGTATATTTTACGAGGAAGGTTTTTTTTTATCGAAAAAGGAACACAGATTTTAATGTTATATTTTTTTTTTTAATTACTTTAGGTGAAGCGAAGACGCAGAGGAAACGTATTTAAATGTCAAAATCCCGAATGTCGTAAGACATCTTGTTTATTATGTAGTAGGGAAAGTAAACCTTTTCATAAGTGTTACGAACGAGAACAGGATAGTTTACGTCTTTTTGTGGAAAAAGCTATGGCGGATGCTGTTAAACGAACCGTGAGTATCAAAATGAAATGTGAGGTTCATACTGTATCATTTTTCTTATTATTTCTCTCTTTGAATTTTAGTGCCCAAAATGTCATATATCATTCACAAAAGCCGATGGATGCAATAAAATGACGTGTAGATGTGGTTATGTTATGTGTTATTTATGTAGAAAGGATTTGCGGCAAGAATCTTATGCACATTGTAAGTGTTGATTTATTTTATTTATTTTCAGAAAAAAACTTTTTCTAATCTTTTCTATTTTTTTTTTGTTTATTAATATAGTTTGTGATCATTTTCGTCCTATTCCAGGACAAAAATGTAAGAAATGTAATAAATGTGATTTATATAAAACTGAAGATGAAGAAAAAGTCATTAAAGAAGCTGCTACAAAAGCTCGTAATGAATTTTTAAAGTCGCATCCTGAAGCAAGAGGTGTTAATCTCTTAGAAAATAATGTTATTGGTCCTGTTACTAACGAAGGTATGTTATACAGCTAACCAGTTAATAAACTTGTAAGAATTTATCTTAAAATTAAGATATGAACTCATTTATTTATTTATTATTTTTGTGAAATTACAGATGATAATTATTATAGGGAAACATTTGAAAAGGCAGTTGAAAAGGTTGTTGATTATTTATTACCTTGACATTTAAATAGACTCCATAATATCTTTGAATTAAAGTTAGTGCGTTCAATTATGTGACCACGTTATAAAAACTCTTTTTACTTAAAATATTTATTTATTAATCAGTAATATTATTTAAGAACATTTGAAACAATTTTTACCTTAACAAATTTATTAACAAATTTATTAAAAAATTTCTTGATAAAAGTATGTCGTTGATCATTTCCTAAGTTATGATTTTAAGTGAATATCAACGGGGGTCGAAATTTAAAATTATTTCTTATCAGGTTATATCAACATCCAGATATATAAATTAATAATTTGGTTCTATTTTTATGGTGCATTACTCCTCCTCCTTACAGAAAGAATATCCCTTTCTGAAACTTACAGTAGTACAATCTGGCCATTTTGATTCATATATAAAATTGACAACATATACTTTGGTGTTTTGTGGTGTGAATAGGAGGAAATTCGGAATCGTCAATATTTCTAATAACTAAAAAAAAAGCTTGAATAAGTCAAAATTAAAGTAATAAAACAATTATACTTACATCCAATCGAGAAACCAAGTGAATATATGAAACAATTCAAAATCTAAATATATTGATATAACCTTTACAGTGAAATTATTTAAGATAAAACTAAACCAAGTAAGAAATACGATCATTATAATCTTCAATTACATTACTAAGTAATCCAATAAATAGATAAATCACAGTTAATGAAACAGTCAATAATGCCCCAAAAGATGTATCCTCATAAGCCCAAGATTGTAAAGGGCAAATAAATTATGAATTTGATCAAATGATCCAACATTTCTTTAATTTTTTTTTGTCAACAATTTCAATTTAAAATATTTTACTTATCTGAAAGTAACATATACATTGCTAATAAACAGTGTGCGGAAAACAAACATATTCGTATTTCCAAGGTTTTATTTTTGGCTTAAAGTATCATCAGTACTGTATACATTTCATAATTATAAAATACATCAGCCAAACTCCATGGATTATTTGAATCATTTTTTGATGGGATATTTAAAGAAAAAGGTTTTTGAGTCTCATGGCATAAAATTCATGAGCAAAACTTATAAGAATAGTAAAAAATATCACAAGGAAAGAAAAAACTCTATATGCAACTCCAAGAATAATTGCAAAATAACGTCCATAAGATTCAAAAATTTGAAGATATAGTAAGAATTCAAAATCGAGAAGTAAATTAGACAAAGATATTGTCCATTCTAATGGTTTACCAAATTGAATCCAATAAATTGATGTGGCTATTGGAAAACAATAAGTGCAAAGATCGAGCAAATTCCATAAGTCTTTAAAATAATAGCCACAGGTCGAAAAGTGAAAAATCAGGCATCAATCAGTCACCAATCAGGCAGTTTTCTAACTTTGATCCAGTGATCAGAAAAGAATGAAATATAGCTCATTGGAATTGTCTCAACAAGACGAATCTAATGGTAGTAAAATCGCATCCCTAGGATTAATAGTTAATAAAAAATTAAATAAAATATAAATGATACATTTTTATTTTTATATTTTACTTAATTTCTCATCATGTATTGATCCTAGAAATGCGATTTTACTACCATTAGATTCGTCTTGTTGAGACTATTCCAATGAGCTATATTTCATTCTTTTCTGATCACTGGATGAAAAGTTAGAAAACTGCCTGATTGGTGACGGTATTTGGCAAAAATGCCAATCAGTCACCAATCAGCTACCTGATTAGTGACTGATTAGTGCCTGATTTTTCACTTTTCGACCTGTGAGCCTGGTTTCCAAATAATTCATTTTTTTTCAATGCTAATTGAATTGTCAGTCCCAAATAAAATAGCAATAATGAATGTTATTTCCAGATAAATTATTTTCAGATAAAGCTAAAGCAATTGAAATATTATCGAACATATATTAAAAATAGTCCAATTAGCATAATAATAATATTTTCCAAAGTATACCATTTAAAATGTAGTAGAGCTTCACTATTTCAGTGTTTATATAACTCGTAATATTCTTGTTCAATAAATTCATTTGATCTGGTCTAATAAAATCTTAGGTATATATTTGGGTTTATTAAGTATCTCTATCTCAATTACAAGAACATTATCCTGAAGTTGTAAAAAATTATATGTTATATACTTCTTTAATATTGGATCATGATTGTGTTGAAATAACAGATTCTAAAATGCTACTCTTTTAAGAATCATGTACAGTCACATCGGAAAGTAATGTCTGATTTAAAAATAAAGACAAAAACAAATATATTTGTATTTTTTCACCAGTATATACATTAGTAAAAAATTTATATCTAGTTTGCTTTTCATATTACATCAAATTTTCACAATCCCAGGGTGATAGTCTTTTCAAAGACAGAACTATTTAAAATTTCATTTTTTTTTCAGTATAGCTTTAAATTCGCCTACAGCTCTTGAAAGGAAGTCACACTTCTAGATAATTTATTAGTTCATTTCTAATTATTCTTTACTTTATTTAAACCAAATAAATTTGTTAGCAAATCAGTAGTTGCAATTTTATTTAATTTTAGCTGATTTTTGCTTAAAAATGAAATCTATAATTATCTTTCCACTTATGATTATCTTGACTCTGAATTTGGCAAATAAGGACTCATTGGATTTGTTTTGTTAAGACGAATTAAATGGTGGTCAGTTCATATCTCTAAGATCAAAATATGCCAAGATATACATTAAAATATATTTTAGACGTTTTGGCCATTATCTCGTGATATATCGATGTTATACATATGGGCTGACCTCCATTCAATGCATCTTAACGAGACTAATCCAATGAGCCTTTGATTATCAAAATCAGATCACTGAATAGTGAGCTATATATATTTCCGATTTTATGAAATTCGGAGTTTTAAAAAATTTTCAGGTAAAGTATGTTTGAAGGTATATCTTGGTATCAATTAGACTTAAAGACATGATTCAACTAACATTGGACTCGTCTTGATAAGGTGAATCCAATAAGCCTTAATTTGTCAAACTTTGATTACTGGGTGCTGAGATAACCATAATGGTAAATAATTATAATCTCCATCTGTAAGTAATTAGACAACACTTTCTGATATGACTATACAGTATAATTAGTGATTTTAATTCTTACCAATTAATAATATTTGTTTCAAATTTCAAACTTTTTATCATATAATGAATTCATTATTTAGTAAAAAAAACTCATGAAATTTAAAATTAAGATAAACCAACTATAACTTTAGTTGTTTTTTTACTAAAATCAATTAAATTATGAACAAGATCTATGACTTTTCCTTTATTTTCTTTTAATTGCCAATTTGAAAACTTTTTCACCTAGCTCAGCAAAAATTTCAATATCATCTTAATTGAATATTCAAATTTGGAGAAATTTTGGAAAAAAGTTTTGTACAATTATGTTTCTCTTTTAAAATGATTTTTATTTTTCTTTGTAAGATTAATTGAACTTTCTATTTCAAAAATAATAGATATGATGAAAATAATATGTATTATTATGGTTGAATTCCAAATACTTGCATTATTTATATATATACATATATATAAATAACACTATGTTAGACTTTAATCTACTCACTGTAAATTTAAAGAGAAGACTTGTTTTATTTGCAAATATAGTTTATTATTGTATTTTAATGGTTATTAGCCATTAATATATTAAATACAGCAAGTTTAAATAATATTAAGGGGTTGATCACCCTTGGCTCATTGGTTAGTCTGTGAGTCCCCTCGTGAAGCCTGAGTATGGTGAGGTCGTAGGTTCGATTTTGCTAATCACAAAAATTAAAAGAATTTTACTGTGGACACTACTACCAATAGTGTAAAGGTACAGGGATTAGTGTAGGCTGAACTGCATCATGATGAATTAGTATGTACCGGTTGGCGGCATATTTCAACAAAGGGTCATGGTGTCCTCCTAGCATTCTCTATGAGGCTATTGGGAAGCCTATTGTCCTGTCTGGATGATCACTGCTTGCATACCATTTAGGTGAGCTCTTGTCTTGGTGGTCACTCTACGATACCACTAAAGGTGTGGTAAACTTTACTGTGAGGGTTTACTACGCTAGATGGTCCTCATAGATGGTAAAGTCTCAAGTGCAATGTCTTAGCAGTAGTTTACCTTCTAATAGGTTTAGGCTGATTGGAGACGTTTGTAGGCTCACAGGTATATAAGGTTCTAAGGTGAGGTTCGATTTTTCAGTGAATTTGACGTACTGATGGGTGATCCCTGGGTAATTGGGTTGGTTACTTATAATAAAGGGGTGATCCCAGTACCCTTAGCAGCTTACTGTCCTGGTAGTCACTACTATTACTACTGGGAGATTTACAACTATGGTGGGCTGGTATGGTAATCGCAGCCTGTAGTGGGCTTTGAGTGAGGCCATATTAGTAGTCTTAGTATTGCAGTACTTCTAAGCTAACCATCATGGAAGGACTTCTAGATGTCTGCTCTGTTATATCTGCCATATGTGGGTGGTTGCTCACTTCTGACAGGCGCTAGTAGGTAGTATAACTGTATTAGAAATCCTGCTACACTACGATCCATCCTTGTGTGGGTATAAACTTGGGTCGTCTTTTCAGTGTGGTATATAGGGAGTAGGGGGGATGTACATCCGGTTACTTTTAAATAATTAGAGTAAGTGCTTGGTTAGCTGTCGCTCAATGGTAGGAGTGCATTTCCGCAACTTTAGTTGTAGTGCTCCCTCCATAGAGATGGTCAGTCGGTCCTGCGGTCTTTGATCGGTCCTGATCAGTCTTTAGGAAATTTTTGGAAAAGTAATAAGGCTGTGCTTCCAATTTTTTGTAGCACAACAGAACTGATTAAAGACCAAAAAGTGGTAAATTTTGGTCTCAATCTAATCACCCAATTTAGAGCTAGGCAGGTTTTTATTTTGCCAAAACCAGTATTTTTTGCTTTTTTCGGTCTTTTTCCAATTTCGCCTCTGCTGGTCTTAAAAAAAGAAGTATAAAGGCCAAATTTTGACATTTATTGGTCTTTAGCCATACTTGCTGCGCCTTAAAAATTCAAGGGTGCATTCCTTATAACTTTCCCAAAGACCGGGCAGGACCGTCCAGGACCGAAAGACCGACTGACCATCCTTATCCCTCCATGTAGCTCTGGTGAACCGGCTATGCTGATGTCTCCTAAAACATAAAAA